TCCTACCGTAAATATATCAAAACTTAATTTTTGATTAGTAATATGCATTGCTAAGAACTTCATTTGAACAACTTTAAAGATGATTTTCTCAATATTTAGATTTTTTTGCACCCTCAGATTCCAGATTTTCAAATAGTTGCATCTCGGCCAAATATTGTCCTATAAACTTATTTATTCATCTTTTAGATGATGTATAAATCTCAATTTCAAAAAATTATGACTTATGACCCTCATGACTGGTTTTGTGGTCCAGGGTGACATATTAGGGTCATAAATACACAATGAGCTTCAGTCATTGCACAAACCTATTTTTTATGTCATTTATACCAGAAATATCATTTGAATTTTCAATAAAGATTTTTGAAAAAAACAAACAAATACACAACCAGTCAAAAGTTTGGAATAAGTTATTTTTTAATGTTTGTGAAAGAATTCTCTTCTGCTCACAAAGCTGCATTAAATGGATCAAAAGTACAGCAAACATAGTGAACTATTATTCTAATATAAAACAGCTGTTTTCTGTGTGAATATCTGTTAAACTGTAATGTATTTCTGTGATGCGCAGCTGTATTTTCAGCATCATTACTCCAGTCTTCAGTGTCACATGATCTTCAGAAATCATTCTGATTTGCTGCTCAAGAAACATTTCTGATTATCATCAATGCTGAACACAGTTGTGCTGCACAATATTTCTGTGGAAACTGATGCATTTTATTTTTCAGGATTCACAGAAGAATAGAACGTTCAGAATAACAGCATTTATTTGAAATAGAAATCTTTTGTAGCATGTCTTTGCTGTTACATTTAATCAATTTAATGCCGAATCTTACTGACCCCAAACGTTTGAACAGAATCTAAATGCTCTGGACCGACTGAGCACAAAGTCCACTGTAATGAACATCAGCTGTGGAGATTTGTCCTTCATTTTCACTCTAAAATCCTCCATGTCTGATCAAAGCCTCTGCAAAAAACCCTGCTTTTATTGCACTTTGGAGAGAAGATGTCGCAATTAATTTCCCTTTTTGTGTGAACTTTTTCTTCTACTTTTAAAGATTTTTACATTTTCTGAAGAAAACGTTCTTGCTGATCGCTCATGCTAACCTTGTTAATACAAGTGGAGGGTTTTTGAGCTCTCTTCAAACTCAAAAACTCATTTCCATGATATTCTAATATCTGGATATGACTCAAATAGTAATGTAACTGCTTGCCAAAAAGCCACATGATTGCACAGACACAACTGGTGCAGGATATGTGCTGAGAGTTTATTCAGATCACTAAACCAAAATATGAGCAACAATAATATCGGCCAATGGCAGCCACAATAAGATTGTGATATTACAGACATTAGTTATAATGTCTTATCATTCACGCACTGTGTGTGTCAAATGAAGTCTGCTAATCCAGAGCGCAGCGTCAGCCCTGGGGACCCATCGCTTGAAATGAGCGGCCCCTGACAGACCGACAGACTGCAGATTACATCAGGGACTCTTTAGATCCCTGCGCTACGAATAAAAATAAATGACATTTGAAAAAGTGTCAAGTGCCAAGATACTACACATTCACACTCAAAACTAGCTTCAGTAAATATTGCATTTATTAATTTAGCAAATGCTTTAATCTAAAGCATCTTACAAATGAAGAACATTACAAACCATGTGTCATATAAGAGCTAACTATATTTGCATTGTGAAAATGCCAAGTTTAAATCAGAAACTAGCACATGCAGAAAAGAAGAGAAAGAGGACAATTTTTGGATGTGTGTGTGTGTGTGTGTGAATATGAGTATATATTGCTAATATGTGACCCTGGACCACAAAACCACAAAAATAGGACAATATTTGGCTGAGAATATTTTCAACTATTTGAAAATCTGAAAATATTGAGAAAATCATCTTTAAAGTTGTCCAAATGAAGTTCTTAGCAATGCATATTACTAATCAAAAATTAAGTTTTGATATATTTACGGTAGGAAATTTACAAAATATCTTCATGGAACATGATCTTTACTTAATATCCTAATGATTTTTGGCATAAAAGAAAAATCAATAATTTTGACCCATACAATGTTTTTTTGGCTATTGCTACAAATATACCCCAACGACTTAAGACTGCTTTTGTGCTCCAGGGACACATTTGTGATTGGACTGATTTAATCACATCCTTATATGTCTGTTTCTCTTTTAAGAAACATACTGATTGAGTTTCCTCTACCTTTGATCAGCCTGCTATTGCTTCATTTTGACTTTCCTTCTTGTACTTTAAAAGACTTGGTTATTTTTCATGGTCCATTTATAAACACTGGCCTTCGCTTGTGGACTCAATGTTCAGAAACCAGCAGAAAGAATATGAGTGTAAACTCTAGATTTGTTCTTAAGCAAATCACTGAATCTCACCAGAAGGACTGTTCCCATTTGCATATAGATTTACATTTCAGATTTAAAATACAGCTGCAACTTGTAATAATGCATGTGAAGTGAAGTTTTTTTCAACTGCTTACACACTAAATCTTTACTTTTAACACTTTTGGCAAAACACAACACAATTCTCTATGCAACACACAAAAATCTAACAGGAATTAATATTATGGCAAAGGTGTTTGCAAATGTTTGCTTTTGAGATGTGTTTGTGATATTTTGAATGCAGTGCTTCATTTTGCAAGAGATGCGAGGCATTTTGCATTTTGTGTGTGTGCAGTTTTTGGATTTGTGTGTAAAGTTTTGAAAAAAAAAAAAAGAGGCAAAATTTTGAAAATGTGTGTAAGCAGTTGAAAAAA